GGCCCTGGGTTCAATCCCCAGCACCACAAAAAAAAAAAAAAAAAAGAAAAAAGAAATAAAGAAATTTGAGGTGCAATTCACGCATAGTGGTTTCTGATGGGTGAAAAATGAGGTAAACCCAAATGATTATATAGCTAGAACTGTTCAAGACTTGGGGACCATGGTGATGGTGTGCCCAGCAAGGGGAACTCTGATGAGACTGGAGACCACTATAAGGAATTCTCCAAGGCAAGGTATACAGATGGCATTTGAGGATGTCATAAAGATGGGGACGAGGGGCTGACCTCCTGAAAGTGTTTCCTGCCATCCCACTGCAGCCCCACCTGTGAATTCTTTGACTAATGCAGCAACTCCTTGATTGGAAGTCATTGTAGACGGCACAACCTACTGCTGTGCTCGACAGAGTCCTGGTCCTCAGCCCATGTGGACTGTCTCTGTCTTTCCTCACCCATCTGTCTTCCATCCCAGATAGACAGCTTCAGATAATTAAGAACCCTAGAAATGACAGGTGTTTTCCATTTTTTTTAATTGAGTTCCAAAGCCAAAGGACAGAGGAGAGAAGCTCAATCTCAAAATGTTTACATCTCTAATTACGGTTCATTTCACTTGAGCAAATTCATCTTCTAGACCAGGCAGCAGAGGAAACTAGTAACACAGCCTGCAAGCATGGCCCCCAGTGCAGAGCTGGCCCAGTTAACTCCTGATGCTCAGAGAGATTCACTGACCAGGAAGCACTGACTTCCCATGACCTGAGCTGGCTGGAACTTCTGTTGTGCCCAGTTACAGACTCTTAGGAATCCAGTGGTTTGTAGGTGAGGGCCTCATCTACCACCTGCCTCCTGCACCTACCTGAAGACCTCCTCACCTGGGTCTCTTCACCAGCCCAGGGTGCCCACAGGCATTTCATGATCCCTCCACRTTCTTGATGACAGAGGGCACAGCTGTGCTGCACTGCTCTGGAAAACTAAACCCTCAGTCCTGGGGGGTGCCAGCCCAGGGATGAGGTAGCAAGGCACAGGCCAGCGGAACTGGACTCGGAAGATTAGGCTTCTAATGTCCTCTTGGCTTTGCACTTGGTTCCCTGTCATTTTCAAATCAATAGCCTCCTTGCAAATGCCCCTGCCGCAGCCATCAGAGAAACACAGAAGTCACAGGGGAGCCAGAGCTTACAGGGTGGCCTTGGGCCCCTGGAGGCTAAGGGAGAGAAGCCTCAGTAACTGGATGAGAGTGACACCCGGAGGGGCAGGCAGACCAGAGGGACAGGTGCCTGAAGAGAGCGCTTCCCAAGCTGTACCTGGACGCTCTTGAGGCTGGTCCTTGTTATGGGACAAGACACATTTGCATGATTGTGGAATGATGGCATTTCAGGGGCAATCTGAAGAGTCATTCCCAATGTCACAATAGGATTCAAAAACAAAACAAAACACCCTCAGAACATCCACGGTCACTCCAATGGTTGTGTTTCACAAACAGTGCACAAGTCAGTGCTATAGTTGGCACCTTGAATGACCCCCGAAAGGTGTGGGTGTTAAAAAAGTCTTGGTCCTCATGGTGGTGCCACTGGGGGACAGTGGGACCTCAGGAGGGGAGCCCTAGGGAGGTCCTTAGGTCATGGGGGCCTTGGCCTCTTCCTGTCCCCTTGGTGTCCTGGAGATGAAATGAGCTGTTTGCTCCTCCACGTGCTCCCCGCCATTGCYAACCAGAGGCCCGAAGCCATGGGTCTACCCGGTCTTAGACTGGAACTCCAAAACTGTGAGCCAAAAGAAACCCCTACTCTTGATGTTAAAGATCTCAGGCATTTTGTTCTAGTGATGAAAAGCTGACACAGTCAGCACATCAAAGTCTGGGGGTCTGGGGTGGGGGTTCATCCTAACAGATCCCTGCTCTGTGTGGTGCACAATGACAGCTGACGAGCTATGGCTTATCCCTCTTAAGGGCATCCGAATGTCAGGATTAATGCTCTATAACTGGAAAATGACTTACCCTGGGCTTAAAAAGATTCTATCACAGCCAGAGTATGACCAGGGGTGACATGAGGGGTTTCTTCCATAGATACGCACTCGTGGGCTGCTTTATCGCCCCACTAGAAAGCCTTTCATCCTAATGATGCTATTTTTACAATCCCCACTCTCCTCTCCCCCCAGCCATGTTCCAACTCTCTGGAGGTGGCTTCTTTTATACTGTCCCCATTGGTGGCAGTTCCCCTACCCTAGGATGTATTCGGTTTGGGGAAGCAGGCAGTCTGGGGAGCCAAGAGACTGTGGTATCCTATTTCGGTGGGTACCWCTTGTAACTGGATTAGGAACGAGGTGATCTTCTGCTATCCTATGGAATTTTGATTTGAAAGTCATTACTGAAGGGAAGTGGCCCAATTGTTTAAGAAAAGATCTAATCATAAAAATCATGTGCTTTCTGCCACCAGGGTAGCTTTTGGCTTTGAATCTAGCTTATTTTAATTTTTTCCCCTACATCCCCAGTCCTTTTATTATTTTGAAATAGGGTCTCCTTAAGTTGCTGAGGCTGGCCTCCAACTTGTCACCCTCCTGCTTCAGCCTGGGATTACAGGTGTGTGCCACTGCACCCGGCTCCAATCTACCCAGTTACTTATACTCAGGTTATCTGGTAGTCATCCTTGGGGAAGAAGCTCACTGGATAGGCCTGATGATTGCACAGCAAGTTTAAGAGCTCACGGTGTCACATAGAAGAATGGTTGTTGCTAGGCACAGTGGTGCATGCCTGTAATCCCAGTGGCTTGGGAGACTGAGGCAGGAGGATTGCAAGAAGTTCAAAACCAGCCTCAGCAACTTAATGAGGCCCTAAGCAACTTAATGAGACCATGTCTCTAAATATTAAAAAAGAGCTGGGGGAAGTGGCTCAGTGGTTAAGCACCTTGGGTTTCAATCCCTGATACAAAAAGAAAAAAAAAAAAAAAGAACTGTTATAAGTGGATTTCTGGTTGTCATTGTTGTTTTGTTTTTGTTTCTTACCTGCTGGAAAATATTTAGGTTGCTATGAAAAGTTAAATGATTCCAACTGCCCAGGAGGTTTGGCAAAAGCCAGGTGAGATGTAGGACCATTCTGATGGCCATCTGYGTGGCCATCCCATCCCTAGGGGGCTGAATCGGGTGGCCTGGGAACCTTTCTCCCCTCCCCACATACTGGTAAGATGAAAAAACAACCCCACTGCCAAAGGAGGAGAGGCCACCTGGATGGAGCMGGCAGTGCTTCAGTCTCCTCTCCGCGGGCGTCGTTTGCCCTCTTGGGGCCTGTTTGGATCATACCCCCCAGGAAGAGCAGCAGACGGCAGGAGCTCTCAGGGCTCCCCTCTAAGACACAGCTGAGTCCAGGAGGATGGTGCTAGGGAGAGCACCTGCTCTCCCAGGGTCTGAGGGGCTCTAACAGCGCCCCTATGACCAGGGCGACAACTGTTGTCTCCTAAGAAGGCGAAGACGGAGGAGCTTGGGTTAGCAGTTGGTCCAGCCCTGCCCTAGGACACTGCAGCCAGACCGCCTGTGAGTACCAGGGTTGGGACAGCACCCTTGGCCCCTGCGGCCACCCAGAGGTGGGACTGCCAACCCAGATGAAAGACACTGGGTGGAAGCAGCTGGGAGGGGATCACCTGAGGCCATTGTGCTCCCCTGAAAAAGAAAACAGCTCGGGCCCTCCCATAAAGAGCCTGAGGGGGAGAGGGCAAGAGGGATACAGATAAATTTATTAGTTAAATACTGATTTTACAGCCATTCCACCTTAAGACAATGTTACCAGGTTGGTGGGTCAGGAGGGAATGGAGGGGCAGCCTTCAGGGAGGAAAAGTGTTAAATGATGATTAAAACAGAATCTTGGTTCAAAGGTACTCTGCTACAGCCAGGAGGGCTGGGGTGGGGCTGGGAGTCTGGGGTGGACGGAGTGAGGCCACGGTCAGCGGCGGCTCTGCGGATAACGAGGACAGGGAGGAAGTCTTTGGGAGCCCAGCGTGGCCGGAGGAGGCCAATCCAGAACAGCTGGGGGCTGCATGTCCCTTCGAGGCCCACCCTCAGGGTCTTCTTATAGCCATCGTCTTTCTTTCAGCCAGTTTTGTTGTTTGCTTTGTGTTGATCTTGCAAACTCTCTGGCTTCTCATCTCTCAGACAGAAGGTTCCTGCCAGGGAAAGAATGCAGGTCCAGGTGCTGGTGACTTGGCCAGGCCACCGTCCACAGGCTCAGAGAGCAAGCAAGCTGGAGTCCCGAGCAGGACGCCCCCCCCCAGGTGCACTCCCCGGAGGACCTCGAGGATGAGTGTTCGCCCGTTAGTTTAGCAGCAGGACCTCTGTCCCTTCTCAGTACCCCGCTGCGTGGATGCGGTGAACGGAGGATGCTGAGGTCTGCCCTTCGGCTACACTACCRAGCTCTCGTTTTGGCAAAGGAGAGGCATGATCGGGCTGAAGACAGAGCCGGATCGCTCAGGACAGCAGAAGGGATTTCTATGTCACAGGCCCTGGTGGGAGAAGAGAAGGAGCAGAGCCCTCAGCAGGGAATGGACTGGGGGCGGCAGCACTGCCCAAGGGCTATCTGATGACGCCACGCGGTGCAGGGGTGCAGGTCTCTCTTCCATTTCCCGGGATGCGTTCAGTCACCTCTGCACAGCACCCAGTGCTACTGGACTCAGATCAGCCATGGGGATGCAGGGATGTGCAGTGCCTCAAGGGGAGTGTTGGGCAAGGGCTGAGGCTGCCCAAAGGGGCCTGTCACATTCAATACACATCAAGCAGTTGCCCTGTTCAGGCTGCAGCGGGGGTCCCAGAGCCCTGCCCCATCAGCTGCCCGTAGAGCCCCAGTGCTGGGAACACAATGGTAAAGCCACCACTTTGGGCCACAGCATTGGGAAGCAGGGGAGAGGGACATCTTGTCTCTGTCAGGGGCGGGRCCAGGTGGGACAGGGAATGAGAAAGAAGTCGCCAACTCCATGGAAGAGACTTATTGTGCCTGCCGTGAAGGGTGGGCTAGTCTGTGTCAGAGTGCAGAGAGTGGGCTCTTTCCAGACCCCACCTTGAAAAGGCATCTGAGAAAATCCAACTCCCACTTCTCAGAACCAATTGTCGACTTCAAGTTTCTTCCCAGTTGCTCTGGAGTCCTTCCCAGGCAGAGGGGGCCCCCAGGTCCCAGGTCCATGCAGATATTTGAGGAGGGAAGGAGGAGAGATTAGGCAGTGATTATGTCCCCGTGACTGTCAGCCAAGACCAGACTGTTCCAAGAGTCCTGCTTGGAGCTGGCCTGTGGTGACTGGCTGACAGGAGATGCGTAGCCTTGTGGGGAGAGCTTCAGGGCAGAGAGGACCGGGTGGATGGAGGGCCCGTGGCCAGACACAGCACTGACGGAGAAGGTCTGCAAGGCAGAAAGCACCATGAGGCCAGGGGGATGTGCCTGAGGGCTCACGGGGACCAGAGGAGGGACTGGTCAAGGTAGGCTGGGACACACTGACCCCATCATGTCATCCAAGGAGAAACCTGGCCTGAGCAGCATGTGCCTGTGACCCTAGTAACTCAAGAGGCTGAGAAAGGAGGACTGAGAGCTCGAGGCCAGCCTCAGGAACTTAGCAAGGCTCTAAGCAACTTGGTAAGGCCCTGTCTCTCAAAACAAGAAGGGCTGGGATGTGGCCCAGGGGAACAAGCACTGCTAAATGGCATCTCCAGTACCAAAAAACCCAAAGAGGGACCTTGTGAAAACAGCACCCTGCCTGATGTCTGCACCCACCCTGCCCTCTGCAGCTTCCCAGCCTGTGCCCAGCCAGCAGGGTCCTTCTTTCCCATCTGGGTGCCAGCATCTGGGCACCTTCTCCTTGTCTCCAAAGGCCATGGCACAGAGGGCCAGCTGTGTGTGCTACAGCTGTATCCAAACRCTGTGGCTTGATAAGCCATCGGAGGGCTCAGGGGCAGGGCTTTGGTAGCCCCATAGGGGCTGCTCCTGCTGCCCGTCTGCAGGTCTGGGGGCAGCTCATGCTGCACCCAGGGTCTGGAGTCCACTCCCCCGTGCAGCCCTGCCGCCCCGCGGTACCTGGGACATGGAGCTGCTGTGCCCATAGTGAGATGACAAGCCGGGCTCTGTCTTGATGGGGCGCATCTCCTCGCTGTTGGTGGTGGTGGTGCTGCTGGAGCTGCTGGAAGCACTGCTGGTGGGAGGAAGGCTCTCACTGCCGGAAGGACCTGGAACAGGGCGGAGCCAGGAGGCACAGCTCAGGGCAGGGAACTGGAAGAGTGGCCCTTTGAGAGAGCCGGACAGTCTCTGATAATGGCTTTATTTACATTTGCCAGGGAGAGAAGCTGGGGTCCATATCAGTGGAGGGCACCATTCTCAAAATGGAGCAGAAGTGTCCTATTCCAAGGGGACTCTTCCAAATGACAAGCTCGTCCTCTCCCCCCACATTCCATACCCTTGAGGCCACGTGTTTTAGAATTTAAGATCTGGATTTCAAAAAGTGCCAACACCGTATACTATAGACTATCTCCAGAGGCATCTGGGACAACGACCCACAATCAGATTCATTAATTTCGCTACAGCAAAACTCGAACAGTCGTACTGATCAGCATAAATGGCCCTGTGTGGGTTCAGGGTAGGTCCAACGGCCAAACCCGTCTTCCTGGGTCTGGAATTTGGAGAGGGGATTTTATGGCTGAACTGAATGCTTGCTGTGCCCATGTGGCTGCGTGCGAGGAAGGGAGGTGATGCCGGGGCAGGGCTGCAGCTCCAGGCAGCAGGGAGGAGGGAGACACGGGGACCACGGGTGTGARGCAGGGGATTCAACAGGAAGTATCTCTGCCAGAAGGAGTGAGCCAATGGTGAATCTAGAAAGTAGAATTCCCATCATGTCCTCAGTGGGGGAAATGGCAATTTATCTGACTKTCATGCTGCAGAAGAGAAGAGAAGCTCCTCATCATATCAGCCAATTTATCTTCTCTGCAACTGCAGCACTGACCTGTCAGATCCTTAACTTGGTAGCCATGTGGCGTAGGGAATGCCTGCACAGGGGACATTAGTGACCCTCCTTGCTAATTTAGGAATTAAGAGGCGGAATGTTATATTGAACGGACTATTAACCCTGGTGTGTGAAGACTTAGGCTTTAATTTCAGTTCTACCCATGAATAGCTGTGGTGTAACTCTATCTAAGTCAGTGCCCTCTCTGAGTCTGTGGGCTCATTAGAAAGATGGCGTTAATAAACAGTTTCTCTGGGATCCCGAGTGGATCACTGAGACACTGTTGACAAAAGAGCTTCCTGAAGTCCAAAGCACCAGGTGACATAATGACACCTAGACATAGATCAATATGTAGAGAAAGAGACTAAGAGGATCCTGGTCCTTCTCAGGAAGCTAAAGGGATTGAGTTCTGGGCTGGCCACAGCATCAAAGACAAAGGAACCAAGCAACATGCTCCTCTCTGCCTCAGGCCCTCCACTGGTCCCACTGGCCATCGCAGTTGATGGCCATCAGACCCCAGCTAGAGTTGAGCCAGCTCCGAAAGCTCCCACTATGTACCATGGCAACTTTATTCATTGTGTGCTCAAGAGCCAAGGATGAGTGGCGCTGTCACACCCCTTGGCAGCCCAGGCAGGCCCGGCCTGACCCAGGAGAGGTGCTCCTCACACACCCCGGGGCTCCTGGCCCTTCACCCAGCAGAGCTCTGTGCCTCACCTGCTGCTGTCTTGGATTTATTCAGGTTCTTGGGCTTCCGTTTTCTGGTTTGAATCCCCTCTTTCCGCATCGCGAGAGGCCTGGGGACCTAGGGGGTCACAAATCAATACATGTGGCTTCCCATTTGCACACCCTTGCACTGCAGGAAGGTGACACCTAAGCAACCTTCTGCAAACCCAGGCTGGGCACCCAGGCCCCTGGGACTCCTCGGAGAAAGGAATCAAATCTACTTTTAAAAACACACTGAGGGCTGCAGCCTGGGGTAGAGTGCTTACCTCRCACGCAGGAAGTCCTGGATTTGACCCCCAGCATCAGAAAAAAAAAATTTAATGTTTTATSGTGGGTATTTTGCTAGACCCTGGAGAACTAGAAAATGACTCAGTTCCCTCCCACCAGAAGTTCCATTTAGTGGGAAAGAGAGATGCGGAAAAACCACCGGACTCTGTTAGTGACGTGGGAAAACAGAGGAAACAGTATATTGTGTCCTGGGCTGGAGAAGAGAGGCATGAGGTATTCGAGGAGGGCTTCACTGAGAATGAGACACCCAGGAGGCACTAGGGCAGGTGTTTTAGGCAGCAGGAACAGAATGTCCAAAAGCCCTGGTCACCCCACCAGGACACTGCAGAAATAGGAAGGGGTGCTAGTAATTAAGACACCAAGAAAACAGAGCTGGGGTAGCGCTAGGAGTGGAGACACGGGCACCCGTCACACTAGCTCTGCCCTGCAGTCCTACTGGAGCTGGTGATGGACTGCACGGGTGGAGGGGAGTGCACAGGTGACACCAGAGAGACGATGCTATGGCCAGGTCCCCGAGAACTGTGCGAGGACAGCACCAGGGGCTGGGGATGTGGCTCAAGCGGTAGTGCGCTTGCCTGGCATGCGTGCAGCCCAGGTCCGATCCTCAGCACCACATACAAAGATGTTGTGTCTGCCGAAAACTAAAAAATAAATATTAAAATTCTCTCTCTCTCTCTCTCCTTCCCTCCCTCTTTAAAAAAAATAGAAAAGAAAGAAGAARAAAAAAAGGACAGCACCAGGTGCACCCGGTGCTGGAGCAAGCCGTGACTGGTAGAGTCACACCCTTGAGCCCTCACAGGGGCCTAAGCAAGTGTTCTGGGCTAGCAAAGGCCCAAGGGCACCTTTCCAGTATCTTTAGATCCTGTGCCTTCCCTACATCTGCTCTCTCTGAAGCCAAAACCAATCTGCTATCCCTGGTCTACTCTATGCTCATCTGCCACGTAGAACTAATAAAGGCCACACCTGCAGACATGGAAAGAAAAGCAAGTACCACTGCAAAGACACGAACATGGACCGGCTATGAGAGAGAGACAACAACCTATGTGACCTGGGGTCACAGMAGGCAGGTGTCGTCCCCCCCCATCACCTCCTGGGCCTCCACAGCGACCGGCCCCTTCCGCCATCTCTATCTGCGAGGTCATAGATGGTCCCCCAGCCCCTATAATACGGGGTCATGCTATACATAATACTTGCAGTGTGTGTTTTCATTTTCAGATCAAGATACATGGCTTTATTATCTTTACACTTCTACCCAATATTGCTCATTATAGGGTTGTCCCATAATTTATTCAATCACTCTTTATGGGGCTCTGAAGTTTTTAAACTAGTTTTTGCCACTACAAAGAAGACAGCAATGAATGGTTCAAATGTTATCATGTAGTGGTTCTTTGATTTTTTATAAGCTGTTTTCCCAACAGTGGAGCAGCTATGTGCAAAGGTTCGAGTGTTTTCAACCTGAACCAGTGTTGCTAGGTTAGCTTCCTAAAGAACAGGTGCAGCAGTTCACATACGAATCAACAATACACGAGCCGTGGCTGTTTCCCCAGATTCACACCAGCAGTAGCTTTTACCATCCATTGTTGCCCAAAGTGGGATCTCAGGTTGCCTTAGTTTACACTGCCTGGTTCCCAGTGGGCCTGGCATGTGTGCATGTTCCATGGCTAGCTGGCTGGCTCCTGTGAGTTTTCTGTGCCCTTTGTCCGTCTGGCACAGTAGGGGGAAGACCAACTGTACTTTTCTTAGGCTATAGGCTCTATTTTTTATTTTGTTTTGTTTTAGTTTACCTTTGAACAAGAAAGATCTGTACGTAGATCATGTAAAAGGTACAGAGTGTACAGTGAAAATAATGTTCCCCTAACCCTGATTCTAAACCCGTTTCTCCTTCTTCCCCTCCCCTTTTCCACCTGTTCTCCTCCCTTCCTCCCTCTTTTTTTTTTTTTTAAGAGAATTTTTTTTTATTATTTATTTTTCAGTTTTTGGCGGACACAACATCGTTGTTTGTATGTGGTGCTGAGGATCGAACCTGCGCCGCACGCATGCTAGGCAAGCGCGCTACCGCTTGAGCCACATCCCCAGCCCCGCTTCCTCCCTCTTTACCCTGCTTCTTCCTCCTTCTGTAGTGCTGTGGATGGAATCCAGGGCCCTGCGCATACTAAGAAATGTTCTACCACTGTGCTCCACTTCACTACCCTGTTACCCATTTCTTTTCTTGGAGTACCCCATGATGCAATTTATTTATTTTACTTTCTTCTTTTTTCTTTTCTTTGATTTTTTTGCTTTCAGTACTGGGGATCGAACCCCAGAGTGCTTTACCACTGAACTACATCCCCAATCCTTTTTTAGTTTTGAGACAGGGTCTCGCTAATTTGCCCAGACTGGTCTTGAATTTTCCATCCTCCTGCCTCAGCCTCCAGAGTCACCAATTTCTTATGTATTCTTCCAGAAGTACTGTACATATTATAAGCACCTACATATAAATGATGTTTTCCTCATCATTTATAAAAATGGTGCCATACTATGTACAGTGCTCTGCACACTGCCTTAAAAATCAAAACAACAAAAAACCTCAACTTTATATAATGGAAATTGTCCCAAATCAAAACATAAGGAGCTTCACAGGAACTTTTTATGTTGAAGAAATATTACGTGCATATCAGTTTTTACTTTCTTTAGGCTTCATTTTCCATACACTAATATTAAATGTTTAACAATTAAATACTTAAGAGTTTTAAAAACTTGCTTAAGGAATTCTTCTTCCATGCCCAATGTTACATAATACCTCCTCTTCCATTTCTTTTGTTTTATTATCTGGCATTTTTGTTGTATTTATTTTATTTTTCTAGTATTTTCACTACAATATTTTGTTGTTCAATATTTTCATTTTCTTACAAAGATGTTCTACATTTGGTATCTTTAAATCGCCTAAATTTATTTTTGTTTAAAGCACAAGTGGAAGTCATGTTTTACTTTTGTTTTCCAAATTAATAGTCAATCCCCCCCATTCCACCTGGCCTGTATGGGGGATTCAACCCCCGGGGCTTGTGCAAGTGAGGCAAGCGCTCTACCACAGTGGTACACCCCAACCTCAAACACTTGTTCTATTTGTGTTTTCTCCAGGGACTGGGGATTGGACTCAAAGGCAATCTGCCACTGAGCAACATCCCTAGCCTGTTTTATTTTATTTTGAGACAGTCTCACTACACTGCCCAGGCTGAGCTGCAATTTGCCAGCCTCCCGCCTCAGCCTCCTCAGTAACTGGGATTACAGGCGTGGGCCTCCACACTCAGCCCCACACACTTATCCTTACACAAGCTAACATTTTTTCCACTGAGCAGAAACATCACYTTTGTTTCCTGCTACTATATATAGTCTCATCTGTAAAATGGGAATTAAAATGTGAAAACTGAATGAGACCAGCACAGTGGAGAAGATTCCTTTCCCAATGTAAGTCTTTTTTTTAATTTAAGAACRAAAAACAAAAATTAAAAACAAAAAAGTCTAGTCTGAAGGAAAGAAGAGTGAAAATTTAGTGATGGGAATGAAAGATCCTGGACACCTCCTGGTCCTTCCAGAGTCCCTGCAAGATGGCAGCGTTGGGCGGGGCATGTTGGCATGTGGACAGGGCACAGCAGGAGATGGGGGGCGTGGGTGGAGCACAGCAGGAGAGGGTGGGGCGTGGGCGGGGCATAACAGGAGTGGGTGGGGCGTGGGTGAGGCAGGCTCAGAGTCCACTCACCCCGTGGAGCTTCATGTAGAGACCACAGGCGTTGCACACGGGCTCACCCTCAGCATTGCGGCGCCACAACGTGGTGGTCGTGGTCTGGCAGTTGGCACAGGAGAGGCCCACTCGGCGGGAGGCGGACTGCAAACAGGAAACAAACGTTCTGTGTCCAAGTGGAAGGCAGAGGCTGCTGCTCGTCTTCCTAAGTGGTGGCAGGAGGAGGCCACCACGGCCCTGGGCGCCATCTCAGACTAGTTGGTTCCGTTCATAGCCGCTGCAAGACTTCTGCAGTGCCAGCCAAGAGCAGTGCAGCCTGGAGGCCTGGGGTCTAGTCCTATCATTTGACATCATCCAAAAACCGGGCCCTGCGGACAGAGAAGCTTCTTCCCAAAGTAGAATTAATGTTTGCTTCCGGGTTTGGGAAGGGCCATGGAAGAACTTGACGGACCTCAAAAGGGGCCCCCAGGGTTTATCCCCTGTTCCTCCCTCCCCAACATACAGAAAAGCCAGTCGGGAGCGAACACCAGAGCCTCAGCCTTCCTAGGCTCTGGGTTTTATTAACTGATCCACTGAAAACAAGGAAGCAGGCTCTGGGTTGAACCCAGGGGCTGGGTAGGAGGCCCTCAAGACAACAGGTCAGGAGACTCCAAGTCTGAGTGGGTGGGCCGCCCTGCACACGGCTTCACTTTCCTATTCCACACAGTGCTGGTTGCACTAGATGGTCTGGTGCACTCTTGGAACTTGAGCTCCCATCTCCCCACCCACCTAACCCCCTCAACCCACACCCTGGAGTTCCCAAATTCAAAACCAGAGAGTCGTCCCCCCCCCCCCCCCCCCCCGCAGGAGAGAGCCTTGGAGCCAGGTGCCAAGGAGGGGCAAGGTGGCTTCCCCAGGCTGGTAGAGGGACTGTTGGCACTTGTGGCACTTGCTTACCAGCCGGCGCTGGGGCTTAATGAGGGGCCGGTTGATGCCATTCATCTTGTGGTAGAGGCCACAGGCGTTACACAGGTAGTGCCCGGTCCCGTCCCGCCTCCAGAGTGGGGTGGACATGGCCCCACAGTTGACACACTCTCTGCCTTCTGAGAAGTCGTCAAACATGTCTACTGGGTGGGGAAACAGGAGAGAGCACACAGGATCACAGCCTTGCTCATGTCCAGCAGACCTCCATCCCAGAGTCTAGAGCCCAGAAAGACGCCTTCTCCTTGAAAGGAGAGGAAGACCACCTGTGGCTGCCCTCCTCCTCCTCACTCTGCCTTCACCTGGGGTACTGGGTCCCAGGCTGCATGGGAAGTGGGCGCTTCTACTCCCAGCCCTCCCAGACCTGGCAGGGCGTTCTTGAGAAAGCCAAAGCCCAGTTGCCAAAGCTGTGAGGGGCACATCCAGACCTCAGCCCAGCTCCCTCTCCCTCTGAGTCTTCAACCCAGGGCCTCATCTAACCCAGGACTGCTCAAACTTCTCTCCCTTTTTTCTTTCAAATTTAAGATTGTTTTTTTACCTTTGAATACAAATACAGTAAATATTTACATTAGGAGAATCACAAAGTACCAAAATTTGTAAAGATAATGCAGTGTTACAATCATTTTGCTTTATTATATCCTGTGCAAGGTTTTAAAGGAGGCATATGTTTTTGAGTAATTGAGTTCAGGCTACTTAACTTCGAATCTTTTTCCTACATTAGAAATTCTTTATAAACTCCTTTTATCACAGTGTAATAGTCCATCACATGTATATGCTATCTTTTAACTACTATCATTCAATAATTAATCTTTGTCCAGTCACCAATCTTTGTGTTGTAAATATTGCTCATTTGGTACATAAATCTGTACATTCCTGGTCATTCCTTCGGATACTCTCCTAGAAGGAGAATCCTCCACTCGCTGCTACCCTTTACTTTATGCAGTACTATATCTCCGTACTTGCATTTTCTTTTTAAGACAGGGTCTCACTAAGTTGCCCAAGCTGGCCTCTAACTTGTGATCTTCCTGCCTCAGCCTCCCAAGTCACTGTAATTTCAGGTGTGCATCACTGTGCCCGGCTACTAGTACAATTTCTAGGTCAAAGGGAATTGATTTGTACTTGAGTTCTTGAAATTTTCAAATTCCTCTGCAGGAAAGACTTGTATTTTCTCATTTTCCCTACTTTAATACATCTGCATGATCTTCTGTGTCCTTGAAATCTTTCCTTATTTACTGGTACGTAAAATAAAGGTGCTTATTCCCAGCAAGAGCACCTCAGAGCCAGTTAGATGGGCTCAGAAGGCTGCCGTCATGGGTCACTTCCCTTTCTCGGGTGACCAGTTCCTCACACGGCCCTGCTCCTTGCCTGGGTGACAGAGGCCAGGCCAGTGTTCTCGCTGGAACCTGCAGAAGTCCCACTGACTTCATGCTCTTCTGAGCCACCTTGGTCTTCAGATCTTCCTTGTCCTGCTGCCAGAGGCAAGGTGGATTCTCCAGTGAAAAGGGGAACTTCTTCGGGAGGCAGGATGCCAGGTGGAATCTCTCCCCACTTCAGGCCCAGCCTGGGTCGAAGGCTGCACATTTGACTAACTCAGTGGCCCGGCTACCAGCCCTAAGGGAATGTGACTGGAGGAGAATGAGGGGCCCTCCCCCCAACTCTGGGTACACAAACAGTCATTTGCACCTGCAAACAGGTAGCTGTGTCCCCACCAAGTAAACACTGTGCAGGTGCGAGGGGCTGTTTGCTCAGGCCAGGGCGCTAACACAGCCATCACACGAGAGGCTATTTTTACACCTGGGTCACACTCAGGGCCCTCCACCAAGGTCATGCGTTCCGAGGTGACTCCTGTCCATGGCTTGCCCCCACCTGGACCAATGCTATCATTGCCACCTCCACAGCCTTTACCTTTGGCCTGTCAGGACTGCTCTGTCCAGACCCAGGCCCCCTGTGAGGGAAATAGAAGGCCCAGGGGTTCACAGACCAACCTTGGACCAAGACAGGAGGGACACCAGCGGGCCATACCAGCGTTCTGCTGGCAATAGACACTAGATGGCACTACAGTCTCAAAATTGGACCTGGACTCTCCAGTCCAGCTTAAACCTTGCCTGAGGCCTTTTCAGCCCTAACCTAGTGCAGCATTTTATTCCACTTTTCCTCATTACAGAAAAAGTAAATATATTCAGAATTGAACAGAATATTAAAAAAACAAACTTGACCATCCGGCTTCTGATCATTTTGTGGCCAATCTTGTCTCTTCTAAACCTCCTCCCTCTTTTCCACCTCATCCTGTCATTTTTAAGAAAATCACAGACATTCTTTCATTTCATTCATAAGGATCTCAGTCTGTTGATCTAACAGGTAAAGATTTACACTTGGCTCCTTTTAAAGACAAGCAGACCAGCTTCTTCCCGGATTCTGCTTCATTTAAACTCTATAGTCAAAAATCCCATCGTCTATTCTTCTTTGGGGAAGAGAGGTCCATTCTTCTCTGTACACTTACTGTTTTACACTGGGGGACAGGATCTTTGCAAGGGACCTAACAATCTTGGGATGTGTCCTCTCTGCTGGTTACTACCTTCCCTGCCTCAAGAACCCAACCCAAAGATTGCCTCCAAACTCCTGCAAGCTTGCCTCAAAGAATGGGCTACACAGTCAGAACCATTTTACTGGTCAGATAAAGTCATTGGAGTTTGGCAAATATGTATTTGTCACTGACAAATATTTACCAGACATCTGCTGTTTAAGCAGGCCAATAGATGTCACAGGAGCTAAGAGGGCACCTTGCTCTCAGAATACTAGTATCTAGTTGGGCAATATCAATAACGAGTAACAGGATTACACAATCCATTTGCAGAATATACCCTCATCCGAGTTGGGAGTTGATGGCAGATGCTGCTGGTCTGGGATAGGAAGTGTGGATGTCCAGCCCAGGCAGAAGGGCAGGTGGTAAGCAGCAGCCAGGGAAGTGAAGACCATGCTTCCCCAAGGCACCGGTCAGCTCCCTACCCCCAACTCCCCACCACATACCTCCAAAACCTGCAGAGGCCGCCACAGTTCTACTATAAGATCTTGCCATCCAACTCATTCAATGAAATGTTACATTAAAAACTTAAATTGTTATTACAAAGACAATATAGCTATAGAAGAAAATGCTGGTTCCATAATGTTAAGCTGAAAAACAGCACATAAAACCCCACCAATGCTGCGATGGCAGCTAAGTCTACCACCAAAAAGCCTTTCCTGTCAGACCATACGGACTTCACTTCTTCAGAAACACCATTCTGCAATGCCATGCCTGCCTGTTTTTAAAAATCTAATTAAAAAAAAGAAAGAAACAGAAAACAGATCACTCCAAGCTCCCAATCTAAAATGTGGAAGGGACAATTTTACCCTCTTACATCTGACACTGACACTAATACACATATTTATTTCTCTGTTGGGCTGCAGAATGGAGAGAATAAAGTTCAAAGCCTGTTGCTTAGGGGAAGTAAGGTGGCAGGCTGTGAGTCCCACGCCAGCACAAAGTTCAGGTAGGAACAACCTCTTCTTAGTCCTTCTCAGGAAGGGGACTGGGAGGAACTTCCCAGAGGGCAAGAGTGAGGGTGTGGCATGTCTCTGACCGGTGACAGCCCCACCACCCAGCACCAGGCATCAGGGGAACTGGTCCAACCACTTGGGAGGCAGTGGAAGCCTAACCCTGGGAAGTGGGTCAGCATCACCCAGTGGGGAGCAAAGACTCCTAATAACAGTTGTAAAGCACTTTGCAAATAAGAGGGAAAACTTACAACAATGGCTGTAGAGTGCTTTGCAAACACCCAATGAGATAACGGTGATGGATTATTGTTGGGAGGCTGGGGCTAGGGGGCAGGAGGCAGGGAAGACCATCAGGGACAGACCTCGGTGCAGGTGCTTGGGGAGGGCTGAGGATAGGTAAAAGAGCTGGGAGATTTAGGAATCTGACCTTTTCTCAAACCATCCGGGCCATGCATAGAACTGCACATTGCTCCCAGGCTTGGCCCAGTTTGAGTCTGCAGGCAGACAGCCAACCGAAGCAAGACTGATAGTGTGCCGCTCACAGGAAGTATCAATTAACAATTATTTTAGCAATCAAAAGCTCAAAATGAATTAGGGATGGAATCTAACTCCTCACTGCCATTCCATGCCCTGCTCTAAACATTTTTTTTTTAGGGCTGGGTCATAGCTCAGTGGTGGAGTGCTTATCCAGCCCTGGGTTCCATCCCTAGTACTGGAAAAAGGAAAAAAAAAATTATTTTAAAAGGGGGAAATGAATCCAGTCTCCCGATGTGCAATGGGCATAGGAATCATGACAGACAACTCCACTCAAGAGCCTGAAAGAAAAATGAATTCAGGAGGTTGGAGGATCCCAGTCCTGACTTCCCAGGGAACTGACACCATCGAAGGCCCAGACTCGCCCCTCTCTCTGACCTCCTTCATCCAAATGGGCAACACCTACCCACTTGGACTCTGCCAGAGGAACTCTCAGAGGGAAGCAAGTCAGGATCAAGGAGGCAAGGCAGAGGAGGAAGGGAGGGAGAAGAGGGGAACTGGAGACCAGGCTTCGACTGGCAATACCTCTGGGCACTGCCCCAAAGCAGGATTTGTCTCCTGACTGCTGGACAGCAAGCTTGGCTGTGTGCCAGGTGATTGTGTGCCAGCCTGACACACAGGTGCCACAAGCCAGGTCTTACCCTGTGGCATACATGCCACTTGGGAATTCCACTTGCTGGGAAAGCTGGATCTTGAGCCAGAGCCCACTTTGGAGGGACCCTCCTCCCACGCTGGGTTTTGGAGTTGATGTGGTTTCTGACGGGGGCACTAAAGCTTAAACATCTGCCCTGTGTCCGCCATACAGTGCCCCGTGACAAGTGTTGGACACATAGGCATACACAAAAGTTGGAGCAAAAACCTCTGCCCAAGGCCAACGGGCCGGGAATACACAACTCACAACAAATGATCCCATTCATTGTGACAAGCAGCAGCAGGCCTGGGCTTTAGTCCCTGCCCCTATTTCTGCTGTCCTAGGTCACTCTGTAATCTATGCAGGGAAGGAGGATCCATACACACAATGACAACTACCACTGACAGCTATTCAGTGTCCCAAAAGAGACTGGGAGGAACCACG